TTAAATGGCCATATATTTTGCGGAACCCCTGCGCCAAGTGCATGTATCTGATTCGTTGTAGCGAGCTTTGAAGAACTTGGTGTACATTCCTAGAAGTCTGTTTTTGCATTTTTGGTCAAACAATATGTCACATTTGAAGTATTCGTTGTACAGATTCGCATGACGACATGCCCGAAACCAGAAATCCGACTCGCACTTCTTCAGACGCATTTGTCTGCAGACGAAATTTCGTGTCATTTGAGCTCTTCGGTGTCCAACGTCAGTGATGCTTACATGGCTTTTCTAGTCAATGCCAACTTTTCCAGCTAGTATTTTTGCAAACAGCAGTCCAACATGAAGCTCTTGGTATAGAGACAAAGGAAGGATGTTAAGTTTACGATTTTGTCTTTATAGGAGATATGGCTATTGCTTGTCATGAAAATCCACGAGATCGCTTTCCCCTGCAGACTTACTATGATTCCTAAGTCACCTTTTGATGGTTTCCGGATAGCTGAACCGTAGATCAGAATTGGTACAACTTAACAGACATATGCGTTTTTTCTGGTCGCGAAATTAGCCTCAGAGATTCCTTTCGAGTACGAAGAGTGTTTAAGGCCTTTTCAGCCCTCTTTTCTGTGTGTTGCGTCCAAGAGAGCGTGTCGGTTATCAGGATGCCCAGATCTTTCATTTGTTCAGTGGTTTCGAAGCTGTAATTGGGGAGTGCAATCGTAGCTGATCCTTTGATACAGAGGATTTTGCTTTTCGTCAGGTTCTCTGACATGCAATTTTCCTCGCACCACCTTCAAAGTCTCCCAACATCTATTGTTGAGACTTAGAGGGTTGTCTGCAACAATTTTGTAGTCGTCTGCATAACCAAATGTTGCGGACATGACACAGGACGGTAGATCATTCATAAAGACTAGAAAGAAATGCGGCCCGAGTATAGAGCCCTGGGGAACGCCGCTGAAGACTTCTAGCTCTCCGGAAGTCGTGCCATTCAGCCTCTTGGTTTGCTTCCGGTTCGAGAGGTAGCTGTGTATCATGATAAACAATTTCTCCAATTACAGAAGTCGATAATTTCGATAATTCAAAAGCCTTCTGAAAGTCCAATTAGGAGGTGTTCAGTTAGTTGCAGTTTGTCAAATCTAGGCAGCTAAATATCTGGTGTAGATACTCTAATAGGTTTGTTATTGTCGATCGCTTAGGTTTAAAACCGTGTTGGTCTGGTTTTAGGGTTGGGCAGACAATTGGGGCCATTTTCTCAAATATTAGTTTCTCAAGCAGTTTTGACACTGCTGAGAGCAGGCTGATCGGCCTGTAATTTGATACGTCTTGCTTATCCCCGTCTTTGAAAATTGGTGCAATTTTGCTGATCTTCCATTTTGTTGGAAATAAGGCTTTGTTTGCAATCATGTTGAACAGTAAGTGAAGTATTTTGGTAGTAATTGTGGCCTTATTTACGTTTAGCTTGCTTAGAGCATCTTCTATTTCATCGATAGAGATATGGATACTATTCAGAAGAACGTTATCATGTCGTTCTGTTTTCCCAACGTTGGCGTTTCGTGTGAAAACTGATTGAAAAAATATGCTAAACAATTCAACTTTCTGAGCGTCTGTATTGGCTATTTGATCTAGGAAGATCTCTGAAGGGATCGTGCTAGACTTGGTGATCGATATCAGATGTCGTTGAATTTCGCTGAATTTCCCATGCTCAAAAAGCATTTTTTCGTAGATGCTGGTCATTTTGAAAGGACAATGTTAGCTCAGTTTGCACATTTTCAATTTTGCTTCCTTCGATGGGGTAGGTATTCGCTGATTTTTGAGTTGAAGTGTAATTAATTTCTTTATGAGGTTGGAAGAATCGCTTCCCACCCAAGGAGCTAGTTCAGACCTGTGTTTTGTAGTGATTGGTAGTAGGTCTTGCAGTATTTCATGTAACCACTCGTAACAATGATCGAGCATCAAGTCAACGCTGCTCAAGCAATATAGTTGGAAGGGGTGTTGACGAATAATTTCGTTCATTTCTTCCCAGTTTGCTTTCTTGTACACGAAAATGCTAAAATCTAGTTTTTGTTTGATGGCTGGTTTCTTTTTATGAACAGGTCCGTAGTCGAATGAGACTTTGGCATGGAGTGGCAAATGGTCGGAACTGAATAGACTTCTCAGACGATTGTCAAGTTTTACGCCTGTGACAAATTGCCGTTTGTTACTAAGGAGAATGTCTAGCGATTTTTCATCAGGGGGTTTAATTAGTTGTTGGAAGTTTGACTCAGAGTTCGTCGAGAATTGACTGCTCATCTAGAGAAGTTGAAGTCATTAACGGCCAGTGTGTACAGTTAAAATTTATATCTCCAACTATATACGAACAGATAGCACTTTGTTCAAATTGCTTACGCCTCAGGAATTTTAGGAGTTCGACTAGATCTGAGATATCCAATGTGTAGGTACTGTTTGAAGGAGCGCTATAAATGCAGCATGTTTTAATCGGCTTGTTCAGGGATATGCGGATGATAACACAGTCTTGAAACGCGGAATCTCTTTTAACCACTTTCCACCTTTCCAATTGTACAGAGTTACATCGCGGACTCTCAGTTCCTTTCTTTCTACAGATTCGTCGATGATAGTTGCCTTCCTCTGACGAGGGCAAGGTTTTCTAGATCAGCTTCTTCCTTCCTTAGTTGTCGGCTGTGGAAAATTGGTTCAGGAGTTTTTCAGTTTCCTCGCAGATAGCAATATCGTTCATTGTTGGTATGCATTGGGCACTTTTGATAGGATTGTTCTTGTCTTGTTCTCGTCATATCGACCCAGGAGTATGACATCACCAATTAAGGCATAGACATCTGTAACATTCGTCTACTTCGGTCACATATGAGGCTTCAGAAAAATAGGCCCTATAACCCTTGGCTCAGGAGTCAGGGACACTATCTCTGTTTTTCTACCTCAAAACGGTCGGAGCCAATTCGGTTCACTTGCGACATGAGACTAAAACCCGTTACAGCTTAAAGGCCACTACCAAAATACCCCCCACCCCCCCACTCTAGAAAATAAGAACGTCCCCATACTTAGGTCTCAAAATACCCAAAATACACGAACGCCGTTAAAAACAGGGTCGGAACGATCCGCACAGTTACTTTTTATTAGACAGTGAAACCTTGATCCATTTCAGATGGATCAACCTAAAACTCGCCTTATCTCAACATAATTATCACAAAATACACTCGGGAAAATTAAATTAGTTACTCACATAGCAGCACACTTGAGAGTCAGAGTAATTAAGCTAATTAGTTACTCTAGCATAAATACGATTGAATATAACTCGAGAAGTTTGCTATCAATGAATTCCAATCAAAGGAAATGAGTTTTAACTTGAGAATATAGTTTTGGGGTCTGAACCATTGGGAGACTTCAGTTGTCTACCTTTCCACTGAAGGTTCACTCTGGTTCAGCTGAATTTCGATGTTCTTTCGTAATCACTCTGTCTCCTATATCAAGATAGGACAGCTCTACTCTCGTGTTTTTTACTAGAATCTCGGAAATTGCGAATAGCAATTTCCCGCTGTTTTTTCTGCCACTTTCTTGCAATTGCGATTCGGTCGTTCTGATTTTATTTCTGATGTTTTCATCCCAAAACTACGTATTTCGTATTCCTCAAGGTCAAACTTCCAGATATGACCGACTGGCACAATCCATACGGCCAACACTTTTTTAACTTCGGCGAGATCGCGTTCTTGGCGCAATCTTGCTTCCTTCTCCGTTGATTCAGGGATTCCTCGTATGGGAATGCTATCGAGTTCCTCGGCGGGTTTCGGTGGTGGTTCTTGGCGACTGGCAATCAAGCTAGGTTGAATTGGATGATCTGAATCAGATTGTTTTGTGGTTAGCAGCGTTTTGATTTCAGTCTCTGTTTTCTTGAGGTCAGTAATTTCGTTTTCCAGGGTTTTCAATTGAGTTTCTCGAAGTTCTTTTGAGGTTGTAATTTCTTGGGCAGCTTGGGTCAACTTACCTTGAAGTTTTTGACTAGGAAAAAGGACGAGCGAAAAAGTTGTTTTTGTGTTTGTGCTTTGAGGGCGAGGGGTACTTAATAATTTTTACTTTGTTTCATCGGCCTCTTTTTGCGCCGTTCGACGAGCGAAAAGTTGTTTTTGTATTCGTGCTTTGAGGGTAAGGGGTACTTAATAATGTTTACTTGTCTTGTTATTCGTATTTCTCTTTCAGTTTTTTTATTTTTGTCTTTTTTTTCCAATAGGTTTCGGTCAATACTCCATCAGCTTAGTGGCATCGTTTTGTTTCTTTTGACCCGCGAATAAATTTGTATGTGTTGAAGGTGAGGGGGACTTGAAATTTTTTTTGAACTTTTTCGGTCTAAAGGGTTTCTGCTAAGGTATTTTCAGCTTTGTTACCGCTCGATTATTTTTTTTTCGATGCTAATTTTGTTTGCTTTTGTCTTGGCACGTTTTTGATTTAAAACTATGTTAATTCATTTCGATTAATCTAGTTTTTTCGACATTTTTGATTTTTGGACGTAGCCGCTTCCGTGTTTTGTATAGCAAGCGGTGCGAAACTCAGCTTCCCCTATGTGTCAAAACCTTCCCATGTATACACACTCCGGAAGACACGGTGAACAGTTGTTTCAATTACTCTCATTTTATGCTGAGCTCGTAAAATTTTGAATGGTACCTGTATCTGTTGGTTTTTGATCTCGTGTTTTTATCGATGGTAATTTCCAAATCTAGAAATGCAAGATTCTCCGATGGATCTGGTGATTCAATAGTGAACTAAGTGAGGATGACGTCTTTAGGCAGCTTGAAGCCTTTTCGTGAAAATATCTATTTTGCTTTCAGAAGTTGTACTAAAATTGTGTGTCTACAAAATTGTGTGTCTACAGAAATTGTGTCTAAAAATTGTCTGTCTATTTTGCTTTCAGAAGTTGTACTAAAACTTGTGGCTTTCAGAAGTTTTCTACAATTGTGTGTTTTTCGATATATCGATGTTATTTCGTACTTTAATTTGTAGTTTTCTGATTTGAGATCTTGAACATGGCACTAATGACACCTTGTTTGCTCATCAGTCTATCTCGCGTTAAAGAAAATTGTCAAAAAATGCACGAGTTTTTTGCAAAACAGATGATTACTTTAGTTCCTCATATGAAGACCCATAAAAACTTAGATATTGCCAAAATTATGACAAAATTATCCGATGGAAATAGGAAAATTATAGTTTCAACACTCGAGGAAGCCCGTATTTTTGCTGAATCTCGTGTTTTTCGCGAGATAACTTGTGCATTTCATCTGACTGAAGCAAAAATCAATGAGTGCTCTTTAATTGAGGAAAAAGTTGAGAAATTCGTTCTAATGATAGGGAATGACTCTGTTGTTCACTGGTTAGAAAATATTGCGCCCAAAAAGAGCAAGCAGTGGAATGTCGTTGTTGAAGTTGATTTTATCCATCCAAGAACTGGTTTGATGATCACGGAGCAATCGACTTTCGAATTTATATGCAGAGTAGCGAATAAGAACTGTATAAGTTTCAATGGCTTATATTTACATTGTGGAGGGTCATATTATGCCAGTAATGTTGACGAAAAAAGAAGAATAATCGAAACTTCTATTAAGGAGCTGAAAGTCTTGGCTGAAAAGTTGCGCAAGGTCGGTATTGAAGGAACTATATCAATAGGGTCGACTCCTTCTTGCAGTCTTCAAATCGATAAATTATACAAGGGAGTTGACGAGGTTCACCCTGGCAACTACGTGTTTTATGATGCACAACAAATGTCATTTGGCTCCTGTAGCATTGATGATATTGCTTGCACTGTTTTGTCAAGTATAATCGGCATATACCCTGATAGAAATACGATGGCGATTGATTGCGGCTGGGAAGCTATATCTCCACAGAAACCTGAAAGTGAAGACTACTTTAATACGTTTGGCTATGCTCGGTTTCGGGACCACTCTCACCTGAAGCTTCAGTCTGTCTCTCAAGTAAAAGTTTAAAGATGGTATCAGACTCCGTCCAAGCTTTTTTTTTTGGGGGGGGGGGTGGTCCGGTTTGTTTGTTTTTGATATTTGGCGACATTTAGCGGTAGTTACAAGAAAGTTTCCATCTGATATCTTACTATGTATTTAGTTGAGTGGGATGCGTATCCATGTTTAAGGCAGGTCATATTTAAGCCAGCTTAACATGTTTAAGCATTGTTGCCTGATCCGTACTACTGCCTATATCAACATTAATTTATTTAAAAAATTATTGAGAACTGATATTTAAATTTCGGGATCAACCGTACACCCCCCCCCCCCCCCCACAATCGATTTAGGGTTGATAAAATACTGGTTTTTCATAAATAATCTTTGAGGGCAACCTAAATTGATATAATTAACAAAAAAAATTAATTCAAAAATAACTATGAATTAAAATTTGGTTAATTAACGCAGTATATAATACGCATTCCTTTTGAAAAGTTTTCTCAAGCAGTCCATTCTGCGCTTTTTTGAAATGAATAATTCATACGAAATCAATTTTCAAAATTAATACGTGGCTAGGGGGAGATTCTACGGTAGGTCACTTGGGGGGGGGATGTTGATCCAAAGTTTCAAGTAGTTTCTTGAGTCCAGTCGGTTCCCTTGAATGTTTTCTTCTGAATTTCTTGTTTTAGTTCCGAAAGTATCGCAATATTCTAATCTGATGTTTTCCATATGTAATTCTTGCTTCAATTATTAAAACGATTTTCATTTAAAAAACAATTTATTTAATTGAGTTTGAACTTCCTTGTTACTCTTGCGAGAGCAAATCGATCTATCTATATCTAGACATTTTTTAATTGGCGTTTCATTTGACACAGATTTACGAAGTCCCTATGTGGTTAATTTTTGCACGTTTAAGCTATATCGTTTATTGTCATGCTTAAGAAATTTCATTAGGTGCATGTTTAACACTGCGTTATGTTATTCTGTTAAAAGGTCAAAACATTGCAAGGGCTGATATGTCTACTCAAGTCAAAGTTTTTAAATCTGTTGGAGTGCGCGCGAATGTTTTAGTTCTACATTTTTACTATATTCGCAACATAAAATTATCGAAATTTATAATTCACAATTTCTTTAACTTAACTTTAAGTTCTCAACCGTAAAGTGGGTTGATATCAGTGTACACTCTGGGCTTGCAAATCTGGCTCCAAATATGAGTGCTCAAATCCTGTTGGCTTTCGATATATGGCCTTTATGATTTTTTCAATTAGAAAAAATTGTCCATGCCTATAATTTAATTGGGGTTTCTCGTGACACATATTTAAGAAGTCCCTTTGTAGACAGGTTTTAAATAAGTAAAAGCTGTACGTAGACCATTTTACGTAGTACATAGACATTTTGTAGTACATGGACTTTGTACCTAAAACTTTTTAGCATACATGCACGTAATAATACTCAAGGTCAAAGGTCACAAGGTCAAATTTTGTTTCAAAATCTATCTATCTATATTTTATTTAATTGGTGTTTTTTACACATGTTTAAGAAGTCCCTATGTTGACATGTTTTAAATAATAGTTGCGACAAGTAGGACGTTTTACCCAGCATCTCATTTCTTATGTATCTTTTATCTTTTTTGTCTATCTTTTATCTAACTTTCCTCTCTATCTTTCTTATCTATATTTTTTATCTACATATTTCTATCTTTTTTTCTATTTTTTTTGTAAATATCTTTTATAATTCTTTTTTATTTATCTTTTTAATATATCATTATCTTTTCAAATCTGTTTTATTTTAAACTCTTTTTCTATCTTTTTTTAAAACTTTTTGTTTCTCTTTTCTATTTTTTCTGGGTTTTTTTCTATTTTTTTTAATCCATCTTTTTCATTTTTTTATCTATCATTTTTTGCATTTTTTTTAAATCTATCCTTGTGATCTTTTTCGATCTTTTTCTTATCCATCTTTTTATCTTCATCTTTTTTAAACTATTTTCTTTTTCTTTATCCGTTTTTATCGATGTTTTTTATCTACCTTTTATATCTATCTTTTTATCTATCTTTTTTTCCCTATCTACTGCTTATCTTTTTTGTATCTATCTATCTTTTTTGTCTATCTATCTTTTTCTAGATGTCTATCTTTTTTTCTATCTATCTTTTATTATCTGTCTTTTATCTATCTATCTTTTTAAATCTGTCTATTGTTTAGCTATATGTGTGGTGTGAGATTACTCACTGCATTCTTCCGGAAATTAGGCGTTTTATTCTTATGACCATTCGAGCCTTAGATGGGAATGCGCCTTAATTCGACAGTCATTTCTGTTTCCTGGTCGTACAGGCGTCAGAAATGACTGTAGAATTAACAATATGACTTTGTTCTGGTGCTGGAGGGGGGTGGTCTGGACAACATACTCGTATTCAAATAACCTAATTCCAAACTTATTTTAATTTTTCTTTTAAACTTAATTTTACTAAAGTTTTGGACGAAGTCCAATTTTTAATTTTTGAAATTACCAATTTCATCACCCATCAGAATAAAAAGTGCCAAAAAAATCAAACGGGTACTTCCAGCTTTAGCTGGTTCCCTATCTTTCTTTTCTGTTTATTCGAAAAGCATTTCTTTCTGTTTATTCGAAAAATGCTAATATTTGGGTTCGTCTTAAAAGATAGCTGTCGGTTTTTCGTGAAGATAGGTGAGATCCCCAGAGTTTTAAAACGCTTCCTCGATAATGGATTGATAACCACTGCTCGAAACATATATCGGTAGTATGGTTTCTTCTGCCTCGGTTCTGTTTATCTGTTTTCTCTTCAAACTCGCAATTTAGGCCGACCGAGACGCTAATTCAATTATTTGATTGTTTTTGGCAATTTCCTCGCTTTCGGTTGAACGCTGAATTTTTTCCTTGCGGTTCGCAAAGTTCTAAAAGCAAAAACGTGTATCTCTTACATTTTAGGAAATTGGAATAGTGACTACGAATGACGGAAGCAAGCTAGACTTGGAGTTATTTCACGTTGGAAAACAATTAGAGCTGTATCCGTGGCACTCATGTGCTACCGCTTCTATGCACGGAACGTATTACGCATATGATGGCGACAGATATACCGGAGAATACACAATTTTGAAGCCATGTCGTGGATGGTAGCCTCATGTTTTGATGCGTATCCGGGCAAAAATCTACATCCCTGAAGATATTACCAAATGTTGATGACATTTCACTCAGAAAATTATCGAGCAATGGCTCCCTAATTATACCGTTATAATTTATTTAGATTTTAGTTTGTTTATTTCATAAAATATCAAATGACATGAGGCTTCTATATGTACTTGTAAAAAAATAAATAGTGTTTTAATTGTTTCTGTAACGTTCACAAAACAATATGCAACGTTGTTACGACCGGTTATTGACGAGAGAGAAGCAAAATACGAAATGTTTGGCTCTTTTTGTGGTGGAGTCGTTGACCCCGTTATAAAGAGGATTATGGCATTTCTGATTATTTTCCTGGTGTAGGATTTTCCGGCCCATTGTCACGCAACGAGATGATGATGATCATGGTTATGATGGATGTATGACCTAGAATCATCAACCCATTGCTTCGAATTATTTTGCTATTTATATGCTAAGCATGTACCCGCTAATTAATTAATTAGTTCATGAATGAATTTTTATCATTAAGTATAAAGTATGTTTCCCATTACTTATTCTTTTAGAATTGAATGGCTAAGCACCATCCAGATCTTATTTTCTGCAGAAAACAGCCAGGAGTTGCGATTGGTCGCCTCTGTGATAAGTGTGATGGACGCTGCGTCATCTGTGATAGCTATGTACGTCCGTGCACTTTAGTGAGAATCTGCGACGAGTGCAATTATGGGTCGTACCAAGGAAGGTGTACTATTTGTGGAGGACCTGGCGTGAGCGATGCATATTACTGCAAGGAGTGCACTATTTTAGAAAAAGACAGAGACGGGTGTCCAAAAATCATTAACCTGGGCAGTGCGAAAACTGATTTGTTTTACGAGCGGAAGAAATATGGATTCAAGAAGAGATGACACTAGCCATATGGTGTTTTCATCCAGTAACAGAAAAAAAAACATTTTTTTGTCAATTATATTATTGTTCTGTTTGTTGATTTTTTTTAGAATTTAAAACTGTGCCACGTGTCTATGTTAGCGTGCTATTGCTGCATAAGGAAAAAAATGTTGCCTCGGTCTAGCGGAGACGAGAAGTTTCGCTTTGCAATTCTGTTTAAGATTTTAAGTATATTTTCAGACCATGTTTTGATAGGAGGCAATAAGATATGGAATACGATGGTTTCGACTTTGCTGATGAGATGGGTGATTTACAGGACGAGTATTTCGACCCAGATATGCTGCAAAATCTTCCACCGGAAGTACTAGATCAAATTACCCCCGAGTTTCTAGAGGAGCTGCAACAAAAAAATCCAGCTCTCTTTGAGCAGCTTATGCAATCCAGTAGCGATTTTACAGACGATAGTGTTTTTGTATTATTTGACAATTTCCCGGGGGTTATAGACCAATGTTTGATTCCAGTTTTCACAAGCTCTGTTCAAATTATCATGCCAATTTTACTAGTCTCCGTTTTATGCAGAATCATATCTCAATGTCTATCTTCTAAGTTGCTAATCAACATTGCGAATATCTTGGGAGGCGCTTTTGTCTTGTATTACTACACCAGTGCTGCTGTGTTTTACATGTTGTTGGCCATTCTGGGATATATATCATTTTGCTTACTCTTTGAAATTACAGGCAGCTCTAAACGGTCATACGGTGTCACAACGATTTACTTCATGTTTCTAACTTACTGCAATTTTTTCGTGGACGCGAAAATTTGGCACCAAGTTATGGGCCCACAAATTGTTTTATGCATGAAAATCTTGTCTCTGGAATTTGACCTGGCGTCTGGCCGAATAGAATCAGAGCCGACAATGGACACAGTTTTGGGCTATTTGTTCCACCCTGCGACCGTGCTTTTTGGACCGTGGGTCAATTTTAAAATGTACCTGAACACATTCATCAAGCCACCAGTATCCATTTGGTCACGCATGATCGCGCATTCTATTAAATTTGCTTTCTTATCTTCTTTTTCTCTTCTATACTCGAGTTGCTTCACGAACTTTGTTATCGGAGGAGGTGCTCATAAATGGCTGAAAGCATATTTTGTTGCCCAAAGTTTCAGAACCAGTCATTATTTCGTGCAATATATTTCATCGATGTCGGCTACCGTTTCTGGATTCACAGTTACGGACGAGCGAGAAAGTTCGAACTCGGATGAAGTTAAAGTTCAAAGGATAAAATACAAGCAAGTGCACTATGTGGACCCTTTACGTGTTGAGTTCCCAAGATCAATGGGATTGCTTGCTAATAACTGGAATCTTTACATGAATGATTGGTTCAAAACTTACGTTTTTCACGAGCTGAAACATTACGGTGTTTTCAAAGCAGTGTTCGGTGTGTACATGGTGTCATCGTTGCTTCACGGAGCGAAGTTTCAAGTTTCGGCCGTGTTGTTGACAATCGGTGTTATCAGCTACGCTGAATATCTCCTGCGAGCCAGACTTGCCAGAACTTACTCGGCTTGCATACTAAGCACGGCGTGTGCCAAAAATTGCCATCATCGTTACAAGTCGCGAAACTTCTTCGTGATCGTTGCAAATCTGTGCTTCACACTTCTAAATGTGTTTCACTTGATCTATCTCGGTGCTCCTTTTGATAATAGTGATGTTTCTAATATTGGTTATAACTTTGATCATACTGTTTCAGTATGGGCTAATTTGGGTTTCGCGTCTCACTATGCGCTGATCTTTACGTTTGCTATTGGAAAAGTAATTTAGTTATCTTTAAATTTTTAACTGGGATGTAAGAAGCTTCACACAGTGTTTTGTGATGTATTTTTTCGCTAAATCATTTCCTTGGCCCCACGTTATTTGAAAGCCAGGTTCATAGTTTCGATGCTAGGCAAAGCGTATTGGAGAGGGAACGTAGCATATTTTTGGAAAGCTTTCATTTTGCTTTTTTGTACGCTTTCGTTGGAAAACTGTGCTGTTGAAACAAGGTGATGAGCAAGGTTATTGTAATCGGACACAAGACTTTTTTCCACGTAAATAACTTATGCACTGAATAGTCAAAAGTAGAAATGGTAAATTTGGTTTCAGTTCATATTGAATTCAATTTTTTGCGTCTCCGGTACGGTTAGTAACGAATACGCCTGGGACGGCAATGTTTCTGGGTTCGAAACTGACAGGACCTGTTTTTTTTTTCAAACGGGAAATATTCCGGTAAAAAAAATGTCTGCTAAGTTTTGTCGGCTTAGTTGCCACATCGTATAATTGTTTTTTTTTGCTGTACGCTTTTCACCTTGTAGTTTTTAGTCGCTTTTAGAATTTTGGTTTACTTCTGTGGTTTTTTTTCTGGACTTCGTATATATATATATATATATATATATATATATATATATATATTTTCATTACGAGGCCAAACTGCAGTGGATAGGCGCACAATTTTGTGTCTGTGTGTTCCTGGATTCAAGAGACAAATCTTTAGACATGTTAATTTTGTGTCGGAACCATCAAAGGAAATGAAAGAACAAAGAAAACTTAGGGAGCGTCCTTGTTGCGGAATCCGCTTACATTTCCCAAAAAGCAGTTTGGTCTGGTAATATTTTATTTCGCTTGAAAACTTTATTCTGCCCAATCGATTTCGGCTGATAATTTATCGGCTTAGTGACCTAATTTTCACTTAAACTTGGTAAACATAATTTTTATGCTCACTGGATTGCACAAATTGCTAAAAACAAGTATAGAAATAATAGCTCAAGGTTTTCATGGCAACTTTTTGTCGGCTCATCGTTTTTTTTCTCGTCTTGATAGGTTTCGGGCCCAAATTATATCGGCTTAATGGCTTGATATTGCGTCTTTCGAGAAGCGAATTTTTTTTATGTGCATGTGGGTGTGTTTTGAAGGGGAGGGGTCACGTTGACTTTTTTAAATCTTAAGTCCTGTTATTTTTTTTGGCTGAAAGGGTTTAGGTGTTTTCGACTTTGTTACCGCTTGGTAAATTTTCTTCCGATTCGAAGTTCACATCCTATAGTCCTGACATGTTTTTGATTCAAAGTTTGCCTGATTCCTTTTGATAGGTCTAGTTTTATTGATTTTTTTAAATAGTTTTTGGGCTTCTCCTCTGTGACACAAATTTGGCAAAGTTACAGTTGCCATAGCAATGGTATTGTCGAACTATAGCCCCTTACTCTATCTATATGTTTCTTATTTCCGTAGTTAAAATGAAATTGAATATGGTTTTGGTGACTGATTTATTTAGCTGATTACCATCTATTTGTTTCTTTTGTTCCCAGAGCGTATTTTACATATCCTCTCTTCTTAATTCGAAGAAGTTTCTAACAGCCTAATGGTTTCAGTCCGCATATTTACGGAAGTAGCTCCAGCGAATTAATTTTTTTCTTTTTCGCAAGAAACGAAGAAGCTGTATTGGCATATAAGTTTTTTTCTTTTTTGAGACAATTTTGACTTTGTACAAGGGGAAGTCCTAAAGATAATAACTGGCTTTTGAAAAAACAATGTCTGAAAAAAGGGATTTCTAACAATTCAAGGAACACCAACCTTTAACTAAGTGGCAGAATTCACTGCCCCCTTTAACGTTCACAATATTGATGTTTTTTCGTCTCTTCTTTTGCAATTGTTCAGCCAGAATTATATGCGACTCATGCAGAGCAGGATCTCTGATTTCCCATTTGATCTCGTACTTTTTTCCAAAGACTTTATCGGGATAATACAAATGAGCCGTTGATGGTAAATCCCGGATGAGTAAAATAAGTGCAACCGTATCGTATATACCATTATTTTGATACATCTTCAAGATGCTGGGCTTTGCTATGAGATCACTTACTATAAAAACAGGTTTATCGTTTGGCACCTTTATTGCCGCGGTTTTTCTCAACTCTTCATGAGATGCTGAGCTATGTTATTCCACGTGATAAGCAGCAAATAAGCAGCTTCCGATAGGGAAAAATTATCAATGGGGCAATCGTTGAACGAATTTTGTTATCTCTGGCTTTTTTTGGCATATAACACCGGTATTTTGTTGAACAAGTTCCTTCAACAGCTCGGATACCTTGATTAAACGTAATTTTTCATGACACATGTCTACTGATTTCATTGTCAATTATATCTATACATTATTTAATTGGCGTTTCACTTGACTCATGTTTAAGAAGTACCTATGTTTTTTCCTAGCTTTTTCAACGTATTGTTTTGCATGTTTAACGAAAGAATTTTTGAACGTTTACGCTCTGTTCAAATTTAAGATGTCAACCTTATAGTGGGGCGCTGTCACCGTACGCTCAGGGATTGCAAATCTGGCATCAAAGTATGACTGCTAAAATCTTTTAGGTTTTCGAGATGTGGCGTTTTTAATGATTTTTTTAATTTTTCTTCAAGAACTTAGAAATAAAAAAACTAACCGAATTTGAAATTGTTGATTTTTAATGGGGGTGATGTCAGGGTGCACTCAGGGGTTGCAAATCTGACGTCCAAGTATGACTGCTCACTGTTTTGTTTTCGAGATATGGCGTTTTTTTTTTCAAAAAACTTGGATATAGAAAATGCTTACCTGACTTGAAATTCTCAACCTTAAGGGTGGGGTTCGTGTCTTCGATGACCTAATCAAACTAAACATTGAGAGGAGGGAGTTTGGGGACGGCAGGAAAACTGAGAGAAGCTTGATAAAACTTGATTGGGCAGCCTTCGAAAGATGGTAAAAGGAACAGAAAGAGCGTATAAACAGAAAAGCGTTCTGTGTATCTATTCTGGAGCTAGCGTAAAAGGAGTCTAGACACTTTCTTGACTGCAAATCTTCATGAGAATACATAAAATCAGACCGACTCAGCTTCGAAATGTCAAAAATTGGTAGTTCGTGATCCGGAAGTGGCGACGACCTCCATTTTCTTTCGAATTAGTTTTAACATGACTTGATAATTCCTTTATTCGAGGGTTTCTTCGTTTTAAGTGTAATGTAATTCAGAAATTGTATTTTCTAAATCTTCTGGGTGTATTGAGACCTTATGCTGCAAGCTGACATCGGACATAGTAATCACGTTTTCGTCAGACAATTCCTTCTTTTTTTTGGTGTAGTTCCTGATTTCGACCAAAGGCGACATACGATTTTTTTCCGAATCTATCGCTAAAGCTAAATGACTTGAGTTTTTTTCTGACTTCCATTTTCTCGATTGCATCGACGTCATTGGTAAAATTTGCAATTCTAAGAGTCGCGTACACACGTGCTATCTGAGCGAAGTCTACTCTTGCAAGATTTACAACAATATTTTTTGTCTTCAAAAAAGTCTGGGCCATACTTGACAGTTTTTTCACTTTCCTTTTTGATCGCTTTCAATGTTCTCATCATAACAATTGATGTGTCCAAGCTCGAGAAATTGTTTTATTATTTGGGCTCACAGTCTGAGTTAACAAACCTAACCGGACCAATCATAAAGTAACTTCTTCGGGACATGACGATTGGACTATGACAAAGTTTGGTAGCATCTTCAGTTAAATCTCTCAGGAACCCTTTAGGTCCATCTTTGAACACCAGTTTCTTCACCAGTATAAAGTAGTGTACAGCCACCAAAATTGTCATGAGTGGGTTTGAACTGGTTGCTTACAGCTTCATATGACGCAACAAGAATTTCTTGGTAGTTTTTCCAGACAGTGTTTCTTCTGCGCAATCGGCTGTAACATCGTTTTAACATGAACGACCGTACGTTTTGTACCGGTCTATCCTCATCGCACCAGATCTCTGACCATCACATTGGCTCAAGGTTTTCTAGTCAAGGTTGTGAAGCATCTTAAAAAAAGAAACTCTTCAACTTAACGATCCTCATCAGACATTAAGAACCTACTGAACCAAAACAATTTGAAAGAATAGTATTAAAAAGAACAAAAAACTGAAATTCACTCGCGATTTTTTGTCATGAATGCACTTTTGCCCTGAGAAACATCTCTTGACATAAAACAAAAACAAATCAAAGCTGATAAAACTATAGGATGAAAATCTTCGGTAAAATAAGCCTAAGAATTCTTCCAAAGCAAAAAAAATTTATTGCGAAGAATGAACAACCAATTGAAAAAGAAGCAGAAAGTTAGTTTTTTACTGGAAGAAAATGATCGTAGAAATTTTCAACGAGGCGAATGTTTGTTTTTGGAGCAAAAAATATATTTCAAAATAAATCAGGCAATTAGTGTGATATTTGAATGAACAAAGTTGACAGTTATACTTTTTCAACAAAGCGAAAGATTGTTTTTGAAACAAAAACATAAATCAAAAGGCAATTAGTATGATATCCCGTGTTGACAAAAAATGCTAGTCATACAATTCCCATACAGTTCATACATAAAAAAGTGTATAAAAACTCTATGACTAGATTTTTTTTTCCATACTATGGAACTGTATGACTAGCATTTTCCAATAATGAAACTGTATGGCCATAAATGGGAACTGTATGACCAGCACTCATATATTGGAAACTGTATGACTAGCATTTTTCCAATCCTAAAAAATCGAATAGATAAATCTAATTGAGCTGTAAATGCAAATCTAGATACAAACCTGTAATCGTGCAATCTCAGAACTGATGAGAAAAACCTGAGAAAACTAAGAGATTTGTGTTTTCTGCTGGAAATTTTTCGCGGCTCAAGAGAAAGCTGAGTTGCCTAGTCTTAATGAGAAATGAGAGTATTTATTTGCCGAAAAGCACTAAAAAACCAACAAAACGATTATGAAGACCACGTTCCCACTGAAAGTCAAGCCGAAATCCTGGTCGACCTCCACATCCACGACAGTATAGGGTCAGGCCACACCATGTTTTATAACA